TTTTTTTTTAATATTTATTTATTATTTGAAAGTCAGAGTTACACAGAGAGAAAAGGAGAGGGAGAGAGAAAGAGAGAGTGAGAGAGAGAGGTCTTCCATCTGCTAGTTCACTCCCCAATTGGCTGCAACGCCAGAACTGTGCTGATCTGAAGCCAGGAGCCAGGAGCTTCTTTTTTATTTATTTATTTATTTATTTATTTATTTTTTGACAGGCAGAGTGGACAGTGAGAGAGAGAGAGACAGAGAGAAAGGTCTTCTTTTTGCCGTTGGTTCACCCTCCAATGGCCGCCGTGGCCGGTGTGCCGGCGCAGCAAAGCGGAGGATTAGCCTAGTGAGTCGCGGCGCTGGCCGCCAGGAGCTTCTTCCAGGTCTCCCACATGGGTGCAGGAGCCCAAGGACTTGGGCCATCTTCTACTACTTTCTCAGGCCATAGCAGACATTTGGATTGGAAGTGGAGCAGCCAGGACTCGAACTGGGCTTTACCTGCTACGCCACAGCTCCAGCCCCCCATGTTTCTTTTCTTTTCTTTTTTTTTTTTTTTTTAATTTTTTTTATTTGACAGGTAGAAGTATAGACGGTGAGAGAGAGAAAGACAGAGGGAAAGGTCTTCCTTTCGTTGGTTCACCCCCCAAACGGCTGCTACGCCCGGCGCTGCACTGATCCAAAGCCAGGATCCAGGTGCTTCCTCCTGGTCTCCCATGTGGGTGCAGGGCTCAAGCACTTGGGCCATCCTCCACTGCCTTCCCAGCCCACAGCAGAGAGCTGGACTGGAAGAGGAGCAGCCGGGACTAGAACCCAGCGACCATATGGGATGCTGGCACCGCAGGCGGAGGATCAACCAAGTGAGCCACGGCACCCTCCCCCACCATTTTTCTTTAAGTTTCAGCTGTTGATATGGCCAACATCCAGGCTTTCCTAAACTGTGCAGATCCATTGGGAATGGTTAGAAGGACTGACTACTTGGCAATCCAGGTTACTTACAGCTTTTCTAGGATAAGATGGGAACACAGCTCCATGGAGAGGAAGAGGAAGAAGCTCACATCTAGCCAGGTTTCTGGGAATCTAAACACTACTCATTCAGAATCCTGGTGAAAAGCCTGCCCAAGGCACACAGGCCCCATAGCAGATAATCCGCCTGTGGATCCTATTGTTCACAACAGTATAAATGGCAAGAGCTTTATGGGATTTTTTTTTTGAGACTTATCTATTTATTATTTGAAAGCCAGAGTTACAGAGAGAGAGAGAGAGAGAGAGAGAGAGAGAGAGAGAGAGAGAGAATCTTCTATCCCCTGGTTCATTCCCCCAATGACAGCAACGGCCAGGGCTAGGCCAGGCTGAAGCCAGGAGCCAGGAGCCTGGAGCCAGGAATACCATATGGATCTCCCACGTGGGTGCAGGGGCTCAAGCACTTGGTACATCTGCTGCTGCTTTCCCAGGCACATTAGCAGGGAGCTGGATTGGCAGCAGAGCAGCCAGGATAGGAACAGGAGCTCATATGGGATGCTGGAATAGGAGGCAGTGGCTTAACCCTCTGCACCACAACGCTGGCCCCTAGCAGGGGTTTTTATTCTACAAAATGTCATGCAAGTCGTCAGCCCATCAAATATACCCTTACACCAGCTAGTCAATCAAATGCTACCTCCTGCTCCTGAACCTAGGCTGAGACCCAGCAGGAAGGAAATGCAGCTGGGACATACACCTTATCCTGAGAATTTCAATGATCTACATCTTCTCCTGTTAGTGGCACTGACAACTAACAGCTGGCCGCCTCTGGGATCTTCTGCACAAACCCTTCGGTGTGATTTGTGCTCTAAGTCATCCCTTCGTTCATTTTCAGTCTTATTGTTTATTACTTTTGCAATGTAGATGAGTGAAATGAGCCTCTAAAAATGGACCTGGTTGGTCTTGTGATGTGGAGTGAATGTTGCTAAGGTGTCAGGAGGAGAGCACTATCCAGTGAGGCTCCTCTTAGTGTTCTGGAGACAGGGACGCCATATAATGAAGTTCGCTGTGGTTTTTGAAAATTAAGTAAACCTCAGAAACCACTGGTGCTCCTCCCAGTCACTACCCTTCTTCCTTCTCCCCAAAGGAAATCACCACCCTCACTTCTGTTGTCATTTTATTTTGCTGGGGCCAGCTCCATGGCATAGAAGGTTAAGCCTTTGCCTGCACTGCCGGCATCCATGAGGGTGCTGGTTCAAGTCCTGGCTGTTCCACTTCCCATCCAGCTCCATGTTCAGTGTGCCTGGGAGAGCAGCAGAGGATAGCCCAAGTGACTGGGCCCCCGAACCCATGTTGGAGGCCAGGAATAAGCTCCTGGCTCCTGGCCTCAGCCTAACTGAGTCCCAGCCATTTCAGCCATTTAGGGAGTGAAACAGTGCATCTCTCTCTCTCTCTCTCCCCCCCCCTTCTAAAAAATAAAAAGTCTCTAAAAAACAATAATTTTGTTTTGCCACTATTTGAACTGTATGTGAAATCACTGTACAATAAACACCAAGCTGCGGTGCTGACGGGATCACAGTCCCTCTGAGACCTGGAGGGGACTCCTCCCCGGTTTCTCTGACCTGTTGGTTGCGTTCTGGCAATCTCCGGCTTTATTGTGCAGTGGTCAGCTCTGGTCTCCGCCCTCATCATCCCATGGTGTTCTCCCTGGGTGTCTCTGTGTCTTCACATGGCTACTCTATGATAAGAACATGAGTTATATTGGATTGGGGCCCATACTTTTCAAGTATGACCTTATTTTGACTAATTACTTCTGTACCTATCCTATTTGCAAATAACGCCACATTCTGAGGTACTGAGCGTTAGAATAATCAACATATCTTTCTGGAGAGACAAAATTCAACTCTTAACAGAGGTGATAGTAGTGGATGCTTGTTCTTGATCTTCATGGGAAAATATTCAACTTTTCACCCATAAGCATGACCTTTGCCATAGTTTTTTAGTAGATATTCTTTATCAGATTAAGCAGGTTCCCTGTATTTCTGGCTTGCTAACGTTTAAATTAAGTTTCAAATTAAGTTTTAATTTGAAAAATGTTTAAATATTTGTATTTATAATTTATTTATAAATTTATAATTTATAAAATGTTTAAACTATTATCTGATTAGTCAGTTCAAGCTAATACAATTATTTGATTAGATTAAGAGATTATTTGGAAGTCAGAGTTACAGAGAGTGAGGGAGAGAGACAGAGAGATCTTCCATCAGTGGTTCACTCCCAAGACGGCCACAAAGGCCGGGACTGGGCCAGGCTGAAGCCAACAGCCAGGAACTTCATCCACGTATCCCATGTGGGTGTAGGGGCCCAGGGTCTCAGGCCATCTCCCAGTTTTTTCCAGACCATTAGCAGAGAGCTGTATTTAAAGTGGAGCAACCTGAATACAAACTGTTGCACACAGGGGATGCTGGCATTGCAGGCAGCGGCTTTACCTGCTATGCCACTGTATTGGCCCCTAATTTGAAATTTATAAAATTCTTTTTCCACGGGGCTGGCACTGTGGTACAGCAGGTTAATGCCTTGACTTGAAGTGCTGACATCCCATATGGGTGCCGGTTCAAGACCTGGCTGCTCTACTTTCTGTCCAGCTCTCTGCTGTGGCCTGGGAAAGCAGTGGGGGATGGCCCAAGTCCTTGGGCCCCTGCACCCGCGTGGGAGACCTGGAAGAAGCTCCTGGCTCTTGGCTTCAGATCGGTGCAGCCAATTGGGGAGTGAACCATCGGATGGAAGACCTCTTTCTCTCTCTCTCTCTCTGGTTCTCCTCTCTCTGTGTAACTCTGACTTTCAAGTAAAATAAAATAAATCTTTAAAAAAATTCTTTTTCCACATCTAATAAGATGACTGTGGTTTTCTTCTTTAGTCTATTACTATGTGAATTACATTTACTTATTCATTTATATTTCAGAAGAGAATTTCAATCCAAAAGTTAAAAATACAACTCTGGGATTTCTGGGTTGGGTAATGTTCTATTTCCTGATCCGTGTACTGCTTCCTGCTAATGTAACTAGGAAGGCAGCAGGATGGACCAACTAGTTGGTCCCCTGTAACCCTTGTGGGAGACCTGGGTGGAGTTCCTAGCTCCTGGCTTCAGCCTGGCTCAGACCTGGCTGTTGGAGCCATTTGGGGTGTGAACCAGTAAACAGAAGACTCTGTCTTGCCCTCTCTCTGTTGCTCTGCCTTTCGAATAAATAAACAAATATATTTTTTAAAAAATCTGTGTTGTAGTTTTTGTCCCCCAGAATTCATTTTATCACCTTTGCTTCTCAATAATTCATTCAAGCCAAAGAAGGAGCTGTTTAGTGTTATGCTGGACATTTCTGAAAGATTATCTCCTGGTAATCTTTTCTAGACAATCGCTGTGGCTGGTTTCTGCTATCTTTGCTTTAGCTCTGAGGGTCTCCGACGTGGATTTGTGTGTGTGTGTGTGTGGGTGGGTGGGTGGATTCTAAAGAATTCTTTCTCCTCTTTAACACCACCTGCAGATGCTTCCTATTGTATGCCCGCAGGAATTGGTGCAGTCTTACATTCCGCCTTCGAAATAGGTTCCATTCTTCACAACTTTGTCCCCAGTTGGATTTTTGGATAGAACTGAGCTAAGTCTATCCATTTAATGTGGGGAGAACTGGCATCTTTTCACTCAGGACCATGGGAAACCTACCCATCATTTCAAGTCTGAGATTCTGCAGATTTCTTCATATAAGCGCTACATATTTACTGGAGTTGTTTCTCGTTGTTTTGTGTTTTATGTTGTTGTTGCGATTGTTGCTATTGTGAATGGAACCTCTTTTTTTTTTTTTTTTTTTCATTCAAAAATGAACCCGTGGAGCGGTAGGATCTCTGTCCCCCTTTCAGCTGAGAGACTCTATGGTTCCTCGGTTCTATGAGAACATTCGACGCGCGCCTGCATTATCGGACCCTGACGGAAGATGGCAATCGCGAGTCAGCAAGTAATGGGCCGCTCTATCTCGCCTTTGTTCTCCTCTCGCTGCTCCTGCGCAGGCGTAGTCGGTCCAGTCCCGTCCCCGCCTTCCCGGTCGCAGGCCCAGTTCGGTAGCGCCGGCGCACTGGCGCGCTCCGTTTACACGCTCCGGGGCCTGTAGGCGCCGCGAGTTCCGGCTGTCGCCGTCGCCGCCGCGGCTCCTGGAGGTCGGTTGCGACGAGTAACGGCGCCAGGACGGGCCTTGCGCCTCTTTTTCTGATATGTACCCGAATTGGGGCCGGTATGGCGGTAGCAGCCACTATCTGCCGCCGCCGGTCCCGCCGCCGCCTCCGGTGGCGCTTCCTGAGGCCTCGCCGGGGCCCGGGTACTCGAGCTCGACGACTCCCGCGGCCCCTTCCTCTTCGGGCTTCATGAGCTTCCGCGAGCAGCACCTGGCGCAGCTCCAGCAGCTGCAGCAGATGCACCAGAAGCAAATGCAGTGCGTGCTCCAGCCCCACCACCTTCCTCCGCCCCCGCTGCCGCCCCCGCCGGTGATGCCCGGGGGCGGCTACGGAGACTGGCAGCCGCCGCCGCCACCGATGCCCCCGCCACCCGGGCCGGCCCTCAGCTATCAGA